CGCATGTAAGAAGATTGGTTTTAGCTTAATTTCTACCAGTTCCAAAAGGAGAATAAAATGATTTTCTGTACAAATCCTGTATCCTGTAATTCTGATTTATTAACCCGCTAAAACAATTCTGCGATCACTCCCTCCACCCCACATAAAAACCGAAAACAAAACCAAAACAAAACAAAACAACAACAAAACAATGACAAACTAAAACATAAATGTTCATTTGAAATACCAGCATTGTCATTGGATTTCCTGTTTTAGCTGTTTTAGAATAAAGGCCATTTCATGACAACTAAATTCTGTCAAATAATGATGAGTTCTTTAGTACAGAACACGCCTGTTTGGCCAAGATTTATAATTATGCACGTAGACTGCGTGTGCAGTTTATAAAAATATTTAGCAAACAGTCGATATATATCAACTGGAGCAGACTTCATTTCGCCGACATATTTTTACTTAAAAACTGGAAAGAATAGTAGCAATCTGATGACTAAGTTCTGAAAGGATCCAAGCAAATTCCTGATGGTTTATTGGATCAAGCGTCTGGAAGATAAGATTTACATCTCATCCATACACAATAAATCTATAATTAATTTTAGGTCTTACGCATGACATGTATAATAAAACCTTTCGATCGGTTCCCAAGTCTGCGTTTGCCACAATTCTTAATAAATCTAAGACTTTTTGACATTTGTCGCTGACGTATCTAATATGTGGAAGAAATGTTAGCTTATGGTTGAAAAGAAGCCATTAACATTTGATATCCTCTACAACAGAAATAAGGACACCGTCAAGATAGAGATTTAGGGTCATCATGGATTCCATGTACTTGGAATGCAAACAGTTTATAATAACGAACATTTGAACATGTCTTCTTCTGACCATTTCAGAACTATAATTAAGCTTTTTAGAATTCAACATTCAATAGTATACTTACTTATTCTTTGATGTATAATTAAACGCATTTCACTTTGTTGATAATTTTTTTGATGCCCAATTTGTGACTGACAATATGGCTGCCTCGATGTACACCCTTCTCAGGAGGAGAGTTTGCATAAATGCTGTAACTTATCATCAATTTGAGATTTCTACCTTTCAAGAATAGTGGAGAAGGAAGCAGCGGAAGAAAAATCGAGGAACGGCATTACTCCTTTTGCATTTTTAAGTGAGGTTTGAAAATAAAACCGTAAAGAGTACGCAAAATGTATTTACGATAAGTTTTGCTTAGTTTTTTTATATTTTAGATAAATCTATAAATAAATATAAAATTTGAAAGAGGGAGTTACCACTTTAAGTTCTGCAATCTTATGGAGAGAGGATCCAATATAACTCCTTTCAATTTTGTCAACGTCAAAGATCTCCTGTGATTAGTTCTTTATGTTGTATTGTCTTTATGTGTGAAACAGCTAAAGTTGTCCCACTAATAATAAAACTTAAAGTATAATTATTTTGTTTTTTGCTGCCCTTCTTTTTGAAGGCCATCTGAAGTGAACGTTTGTGTTAAATTGTTGCATTATATTAAATGCAAATAATATTCATCACTGCCTTTTTGATATTAAGAAAAATCAGAATAAAACATGAATGAATTTATTTGATGACGACATCGGATGAAATAAAACTTAGCTTTTTAGTGTAGTGATAGCTGAGAAACAAAGAGTTTCCGTACTGTTTTCAGAAACAAAAATCTATCTCATTATAACTAAGTTCGCTAGTGAGACACCATGTTCTGCGGAACCCATTTATATTTCCATTGCAATGATTTGGATGGTGAAAAATATGTTGTATGAGAAGGCAAATCTATTATATGTCTGCAATATTGTGCAGTTTCTTGCAACTAGTACAAATTATCAACAAAAACTATTTTTCTTGCGTATGGAGAAAAGTATTTAACAACAGCGATAAGCATTTTGCCTATTACCTGGAGAGCGTGATCGATGATACAAATATATAGCTGGATTATGAAGTGTAATCGAACAGACACATGGAGTTAAAGATTTTCAGATATTTTATGGACTGAAAAAGATCCATGTCAATTAAAAATATGCTTAGATGTCTAGAACGCATGTAGAAGCATTATTCCATATATGAACCACGAATCATTGCAAAAACATCAATGCAACACATCCAATATAACCGATAGTGCAGCATATTGAACATTACATCATATCGGACAGTAAGTCTTCCACGAGAAGATACCTCAAATGTCTGGTTCTACATCAGAGAGAGGATAAGAATTAATGATTTGAACCTGGCTTGCCAGAACTTCAACGACAACGTCACCCTAGCCATTTTTGCTCCAACCATGATAAGATGAGTGTTAACTGTTGACTGTGTTAAGTTGAAAATATTGTATGACAAACTGCTTGCAATAGAAAACAATTAAGCAGATTCAATGAACTTTCTATAGTATTTAACATGTACTTCTTGATGGTTCAAATACATTTCAACTGATGTGTTGTTTCTGCAAAGTTGAGAGAGAGAGAGAGAGAGAGAGAGAGAGAGAGAGAGAGAGAGAGAGAGAGAGAGAGAGAGAGAGAGAGAGAGAGAGAGAGAGAGAGAGAGAGAGAGAGAGAGACACGTGTGTGCTTTGAAGTTTAAATATACAGTATCAACTCATTGTAAGCAGAATACCAAAAAGAAGGAATGTAGATTTTAACAAATACATGGTTTGCATAAGTCAGATTCAGAAATAAACTGATTGATCGGCATCTCCACCACTCGTCTGTTAGAATTCTAATACCTACGTTTGATTGATAACTGTGCTAGTTAGAAAATATGGCAATACCCATAAACTACATCCAAGAAAAAGGATTTTTTAGGACAGCTGGTCTCAGCTTTTGCAGCACTTTGCAATCCAAATTGGAATTCATGACACCTTTGTGGACATGGCTGAAGGGAGACAAATCCCACTGATAATAATGCTAATACTCAATCCAAAATGAAGCTTGTATTTTTACAAGAACATGGATCTAGATAAAACTTGAGTTTAATGACATAACCTATCATAATCTAGACTTGATGTATCAGTCTGCATATACATTTCCATACCAGGCTTTCAACAACCTACATGACATGTCATGGTACTCATGGTAGTGGATTTTACTCTTTATGTTAAATTTGAACATGTCGTGGTATTGGATTACTCTTTATGTCAAATTCGAACTTGTCATGGTAGTGGATTTTACTCTTTATGTCAAATTTGAATATATCGTGGTAGTGGATTACTCTTTATGTCAAATTCGAACATAACATGGCAGTTGATATTACTAGCTACGTCAAATTCGAGTATATCATGGTAGTGGATTTTACTCGTTATGTCAAATTCGAGCATGTCATATTAGTGGATTAATCCTTAAGTCAAATTCGAACATGTCAGGGCAGTGAATATTACTAATTATGTCAAATTTGAACATGTCATGATTATGGATTACTACTTATGTCAAATTTGGACATGTCATGATAGTGGATTACTACTTATGTCAAATTTGGACATGTCATGGTAGTGGATTACTACTTATGTCAAATTTGGACATGTCATGGTAGTGGATTACTACTTATGTCAAATTTGGACATGTCATGGTAGTGGATTATTCGTTACATAAAAACAGTATTTGCTTCAAAATAATCTGATCTTAAATATCATGACATTTTAGCGATTATGAATTTGTCCTTTTTAGGAAAGTTTCATTTAATGGAAAAAAGCTAAGAAAATTTGAAAATATGTGACTCACAAGCATAATTTGCGATATATTTGTTGACATGTTTACTGTACCAAAATCAAAATAGTGTCCTGTTATGCCAGATAGAAAGGTCATTAAACGACCCAATGACAAGGCATGGATAAACAATCAAGTTAGACTGGCAGTGAGTCAATGTGATCATCACAAAAACTAATAAATCAGAAGTACACAACAGAGAAATTATGTTATTATAATGATGTATGAACTAAACGCCAATTATTTAAAGAAGTATCACTATACTCTTTGTGACAGATCAATAGCCTATCTGATAGAAAAATAGCCTTTCTGACAAATCAAATCTCTCAGATAGGTGTAATATGATTAAGAGAATGATCAAATACAAACCATAAATCAACAACAGATGTAAAATAATAATAATAATAATAATAATAATAATAATAATAATAATAATAATAATAATAATAATAATAATAATAATAATAATAATAATAGTAAAAGGGCGACTTTATAGAGCACTTAATCTTTCAAAAAGTTCAAAGACCTTTACAACGTCAAATTAACACAAAAGGGCACAATAACAGTTTGCATACAGACAACATAAAACACGCATAAAACGGTCTTACGAACACTATACAAACAAATGAATTATTACACAAAATAACAACACGAAACAAAAAATTAGTTTGAAAAAAAACCCTATAAATTTGAAATGAGTTTACAATATAGCTTCAATATAAAATTAATGACAAATGGATGAATTCAAGTGTATTTTTGCTGGTGGAAAAGATATGTATTGAGAGAACTCTTAAATGTGATCATTGTCTGTTTGTATCTTAGATCAAGATGCAGTTCATTCCAAGAATCTGGCCCTGATTTTCAAATTAATGTTGTCCATAGGAATTAATTTACCCTAAGAATACTAAGAATATGAGCGTCATTTGATGGGCGCAAGCTTCTAGCAGGCGTATACTCATGGGTGAGATCAGAAAGCTATTTCGGACCAGAAGCAGTCAACAAAATGTTAGAAAGAGAAGATAATCTTTTTGTTTGATTATGCCGTGAACATGTAGTCAGTGGATATTGTGATATGAAATTGGGGGTGGTATGATCCGTGGACTATCCCCTTATAATTCGAAAATTGCGCGCCAATCTACAGAGGTAATGAAAATCTGCAAGATTCAAAATAACTACATGTCAGTCTAAGTAGTTAGTTATCTACAGTTATCTACTAAAAATCATCTCTATTTACATAGGTACTTTCTAAGATGCGAAGCTATAACCAAATAACTGATCAGAATTTCGACCTCTTCGGTAGCCTAGTGGTTAGAGCGTCCGCCTCGGATGCGGGAGGTCATGAGTTTGATCCTTGCTTAGTCATACCAAAGACTTACATAAATGGTATTTACAGCTGCCTCGCTTGGTGCTCAGCTTTAAGAGGTTAGTGTTAGGACTGGTCGGACTGGTATCAGAATAATATGACTGGGTGGGATATTGTGCTACATGTCTGCTAGACATCACTATAAACACTGCCACACTGTAGACATCGTAGCGATATGACTGAAAAATTGCTAAAGCTACGCTAAAAATCTAAATCACACACATACACACACACACACACACTCGCTCACACAAGGAATCTCATATGAAACAGCTTGTTGATATTTAGCATACCAAATTTAAGCGCGTAGATGATGTGGATGCATAATTTGCATATAACATTGTTGCTGTTGTTTTGTTTGTGTGAGAATATATTTAGTAGATTGTGTTATATGTCAAAACAATTTATTTCGCAGAGATTGTTGAGAATATATTATATTAGAGAATCCGAGATATGATAAATATAATGAAATAAAACTTCACAGATTGACTCGTACAGTATTTTAATAGGATTTATTAGTGTATATAATGGGTATTGCCCAATCAATGGAGTGTTTGTAACTTCACAGAAAATCGCTATCTATCGGTGTAAACTTACATTTAGATACATTGTTTAATTTTTTTTACCTACTTAAATGTAAACTCTATCTGCATACCACTGGTCACTATTTTGACGTACAAAATTCGTTTGTAGGAAATTATTTTCTCGCTTGCTTATCTAATATGCTGGTGGATTACTCGATTTGCCATTCATTTAGGTTAATTAATTTGCCTTATTAGCGGTTGTTGTTGTAGGGTTTAACTCCATTTTTCAGCACAAGATAGGCTATAGATGGTGGCCAGTATTATTGGTGGAGAAAGAACCCTGGAAAACCCCGGGAAGAACCATCGACCCACAATAAGCTATTGGCAGGCTTTCTCACTTACCCACGTTAGCCGAGTCTGAACTCGAACTCACGCAGACACAGGTGAGATGGCAGTGATCCGTAACGGTCAGCGCTTTAGACCACTAGGCCACTCAAGGCCTCTCCTTGTGGGCGGTTTAACTTGTTTAAGGAATTGATTTGTATTTGTGAATAAAGCTGGATTTTCAGGTTTGTGATAAAGATGTCTTAATTATTGTTCTTTGTTGGTGCTTACATATGGAGAGGTGCACTTTTATAATATAATTTAAATATAAATGACACCATCCCGAGAATGCATTATGCAAAGGGCATAAGAACCAGAGAACGAGGCTATTGCTGGCGGTGCATCAAAACTAATCACTTATATTTCAGCATAATGGCTTGCTGACTGCATGCAGGATTTGTTTACTCCGAAATTTGAAATGCTTGACAAGATGCAAATTTACGGAACTTCTAAATCTGAAGATTTGACAACGGGAGTGTTATAATAAGCACGTGAATTTATATTTTGACAACGGAAGTGATATAATAAACATAGGAATTTATATTTTGACAACGGAAGTGATATAATAAACATAGGAATTAATATTTTGACAACGGATGTGGTATAATGAGCATAAGAATTTGCATTTTGACAACGGAATTAGTAAAATGACCACATAAATTTACATTTTGACAGCGGAAGTAGTATAATAAGCATATGAACAACTTACATTTTGATAACGGAAGTAGTATAATGACCACAGAAATTTACATTTTGATAACGGAAGTAGTATAATGACCACAGAAATTTACATTTTGATAACGGAAGTAGTATAATGACCACAGAAATTTACATTTTGATAAAATATATGTTAACAGATTTATAAAAGAATTGTACTTAAAGACATATATATTAGACTGACCTTAGCAAGTCATAAAAAAACCCAACAAAGTACAGTGGTCAAGTTTGTGGAGCTATGCTGTGACTCTTAACATACATAATTTTCCGCCAAAATGGTCAGCGTAGGGATTTATCTAATATTGTGCACTGAATCGCCTATTCACAAATGTCCTTAATAGCGTCTATGGTGCAGAGTACTTTCACTAAGATGGAGGATGCTTATTCTCTGCAGTCTGACAGTAAGCGTGAAAGCAGTTGTCAGCTAAAATGATCAACACCTACTGATTACAAATTCAATTGTACAAAATGCGCATGTCTTTCAGAGATACGTGGAGTCTGGTTAACAAACTCCAACGATACAATTACATGTTTAAAAGGTGAATTAAAAATTAACGAATAGTACCGATTTAGTCATTTGAGGTAAAGTTTTAGTTATTACCAAGCAATAGACCGTTTGTTCTAGAGGTCGGAGATTAAATATGTTGGTCCAATAGTAATGACCATAATATTAGCAAGCTAGATACTACAAACCATTGGAATTACTTACAATGTGTGTGTTTTTTTATGTGTACATTGGAAGTCATGTGATGAAAATTCATGGCGTAATGATCAAAGTGTGAACACAAACCTTAAGGCAAAAGTGACTTGGGCATCCAGCGTATGTTACTGACGTCGATGGCGAATGTAAATTACCGTGGTAACAATGATGCCGTGTATTAAGTAATATTTAAGAACGACACTATTTAGCTCTCGACTAGGCCTGACGGTGTAAAGTTGTTATATACTTTCGTCTTTTATTTTCTTCCTTTTCTTTCCTTCATTATCATAAAATACTATCTGTCATTTAAAGCATTATTGTTTATGATTAATAACACGGCATGATTTCAATAATATGTACCTTTATTATGATAGTAATTCAATCCCAATTCAGAATACATTGTTCTATCTCTTGTAACTGGGGAAAGGGTATTTATAAGTATTGTCTGTTAACCGATCGCGACCGATCTCAAATAAATAAATAAATATCGTATATCTATCTAGATCATGCTATTCAATTTGTCTTACTGCAGGCGAGACAAAACTTTGGTGTGAGATTTAAGCACCAAAGGTCAAGATCCTATTCCATGAAGTACTGGAAACGTTTCATTTGATAATATGCTATTATGTATTATCACACCATCATCCATTCGTCCGTAAATCTTATATTCCCTCTTCTCATAATGAACCACCTTTGCTAAGGACCATGACTTAAATTTTGTCAGGGTTATTGTTCACATTACATGTGTATGATAGCTATTGTGAAAAATATTACTGTTTTGTTTTCACCCTCAATTGATTTTCTTCTGAAAATAGACCTAATTGTGAGCAAACAGAAACAAAATAACGACATTTCGTTTAGGTCTATAAAAATATATCTTGTGGCCAAATAATGATTTTTTTTTTTTACAGAGCTTCACTAAACAACGAAAGAACTATCGGTGATAAAAGGTAAACATGTATCAAACCTACTTCAATCTCATTTCGTTTAGGTCTATAAAAATATATCTTGTGGCCAATAATGATTTTTTTTTACAGAGCTTCACTAAACAACGAAAGAACTATCGGTGATAAAAAGTAAACATGTATCAAACATACTTCATTCTCATGCAAGGCATTAAGGACTTCCCCCAGCGATACACACGATTTTAATACAATGTAGATAAAAAGAAGAAAATTGAATAGTTTAGAATATACAAAAAAACCTGTAAAATCATTTATTTACATTTAAATATTTATTATCAATGATTGAAAGCCAAAAGAAGAAATAGTGTCAGTATTTCCAACCCTGTTCTTGAAACCAAGTTGCACATTAGTTTATTTGTAATTTTCCCTCGCCCAATTCCAAATACTTTCATTTAAAATACTGCCGAATAATTATGAAAAATAATGACTCTAATATATTGCAATCATCATTAAACTTAAAATGTTTATGCACCCACCCACCCCTTCATAGGTAAATGAACATTATCGAATATTACATTAAATATTTTACGTATTTAGGACTTAATTATCTCCATTTCATTTTCGAACTTCAAAAGATAACTACTGATGTCTTTTGAAGTTCTCAGATTGCTTTTGTAATTTCACCCTCTGTTGTTTCTTTTTTAATAGTTCCTCAAAGATTGTTCCTTGATTCAATCAATCATTTTCATATATCGCATAAAATCTCTCGCTCCTCATTTGAAAAAATATTTGCTTTGGTTATTAGCAACGTTCCGAAAACTTGCTTGGTATTTTTCACTCAAAAAGAATGGTGTCACACGATTAGAATACACTCAGACTCACTTAAAATATCAAGTTTGAGAGTTGTATCATAATTTTATATCCACGTCCACACTTCACATAACGTCTGTGCAATAAAGATCACATCTTCTACGTTAGCTATAGAGGTTATAATGATAATTTTTATGTCAAAAGAAAGTCTGAATCTCGTGGGGGAAAAGTAGTCGAGAAAAGGTGTATCCCTCACTGGTGCTGTTGTCCTTGTATGATGTAAGGGAAACAACTCAGAATTATATTTGGCACTGGCTCTAGGAGTTATGTATCCAACATGGCAATACTACTACTACTACTACTACTACTACTACTACTACTACTACTACTACTACTACTACTACTACTACTACTAATTTCTCATTGTATCAGTCTATAGAGATTGCTTATCTTTGTTATTTTTATATTTGTTTAAAGCCATCCAATCATATCGTGTGACGTCATGTACCTTCTTGCAGGGTACTGAAATCTTACCTGTAAACCAACCAGTTATTCCGCTAAGAAGTGTTTAAGTAAATTTGTGTAATCTATCCATAGAATGTTCAGGTTATATTTTAGTGTACGAAAAAGGGAAAACTGAAAATTATGATAACACAGCAAATATGGTCCGAACATCTTCGATTTCTCATGAGATCGATAAAATATATGTCTGTAGAAATGACCTTGATGCGTATAATGTAGCAAATGAAATAGGAGACCTATAACAGTCAGAAAGTGTAACATGCATTCATGTCTGAAATATTGGAGAGAGTGTAATTTGGTTCACACACACACATACTCACACACACACACACACACACACACACACACACACACACACACACACACACACACACACACACACACACACACGCCACATACACACACTGTGTGTGTAATACAATAGTGATATTGAATGGAGTTTACCA